GTCGTTGCTCTCGTGCAACGTGGGAGCGCGTAAGTGCAAATTGAGTGAGTGTGTTTTTTTTTCGGCGTGAGGGCCGACGTGGTCCTCTCCCCTAGAAACGGCCCTGGCTGCTTCCTTTTATAGCCACAAGGAGGGAGCCAGGAGTACATGAGACAGCTACACGTGGAGCCTTAGCGAGGAAGGAAGATCCAAAGATCGTGGGCCTATTCCTCAGAGGCAAGACAAAGGTCGTGAATGGCAATTGGTACTTGATCACCGGTGCGCCATGCCGCCCATGCCCGAGGTCATTGAAGTCGAGGGGTCCTTGTTGACGCTTTAGTCAAGATGGCCTCCTCTCAGAGGTGACATGTCGTGCCTTATGAATTTTTGACTTGGTGGTTCGCCGAGGCCCGGCAGTGTTTGTGGCCGGGCCACGCCGAGGCCTGATTTGCCGAGGCCTGGAGGTGACCTGAGTGCGGCGCGGCGGTCTCGGTGGTCAGCGTCACTGCGCTTTAGGTGGAAAAATGCAGGCGTGTGTCCGCAGCACGGTAGTCCCCGCACCATCGCTGGGGAATGGTAAAAGGCGATTTGACCGCCGTCCCATCGCCTCTGCTGCTATGCCCCGCCAATCGTGGGTCGACGAGGCGCAACTGTGGGTACTTACACCGATGGGACGGCCCGCCAGAGGGGTAGTTGAGTCGGAGACGACGAGGATGCGGATTTGCCCGCCTCGGCCCAAGGCGGAGAAGGAATAGTATGTCTGAGACCCTGCCAGGGGGTCTCGGACGAGGCGGAGGACGAGCAGTTGGGCTCTCCTGCGGTTTCCGAGACTAAAGGGACATGAACTTGACCTTCCATGCTGCTTTGTCCTTAGCACAGGTTTTAGAATAGCACAATGATGAGCACAGTGGCAGGTAACCCCTGTTGCGCCTGGTCCCTTGTCCCGCTCGGCCGCTCGCCCAGATCTGCACTGAAAAGGGCCGACGCTTATGGAGTAGTTAGACGCATTAATCTGGACGTGACGTTTTGTCAGAGGAGTTTGGTCGGGACGGAGGCCACGAGTATGTTTGCCGAGCCCGGCCTCGAGCGAATCGGAGAATTGGCATCCCATCCGAGGCCTTTCGGGGCGAGGCCTCGGCGAGAGGGCCTCGGCGGGGCGTTTTTGGCTTTTCGTATGAGGCCTCGGCGCAAGGCCTCGAGCGAATTGGAGAATTCTGCAGAGACCTGGCGGTAGTTTTTTTGTTTTGATTTTTGCAAGGTTTACGCCTTGTTTAGTTCCACCTCAATTTCCAAAAAATTACTACAGTACCTGTCACATCGAATGTTTGCGGCCCGTGTATGGAGCATTAAATGTAGACGAAAAGAAAAACTAATTACACAGTTTGGTGGGAAATTGCGAGACGAACGTTTTGAGTCTAATTAGTCCATGTTTGAACACTATTTGCCAAATAAAAACAAAGATGCTACAGTAGCCCCAAAATCTAAATTTCGCGAACTAAACCGGGGCTTAAGCGACATTTTTGGTTCTTGCTTAGGGTATCCCTTCTTGTGGTATCCGACACTATGTATATAGAAAAACTAAAATGACCTAGGGTGGTAATTCTCATGACTGTATGTGTATAAATGGAAGAAAGTGTACCTTGAACACTTCTCCAAAGCCTCCCTCTCCGAGTTTGTTTTGTTCCGAGAAATTGTTTGTTGCAGCTCTTAACACCACTAGATTGAGTTGCTCGGGCTCGATATCGTCCTGGTTGCTATTACTGTTGTCTGTTACAAAAGGCAGCATATATGCATATCCATGAGGAAGAGGTGGAGTTAAAATATGGTGTAACCGTGTAGAGCTGACATTATTGTTGAGTGGAATCTAGTCAGCTCCTTTTAAAATCAAGCATATCTCAATCAACTATGGGACCATGGACTCTGGTTTGGGAATATCCTTGGAGACCTCGACTTCGAATCAGTCGCATAGTAAACACACAGCGATACATAGATTCGTAGTACTAGTTTGGGCTGTACATAGGCGTAAGAGTTAAATGCAGCCCAGATCTCTAAAGTTATCTGCATGTGTCGTCGAGGTCTCCAAAGTCTCAACTTATTTCTAGGTCCCAAAGTCAGTTCGGGTCTCATCCAGGTCCAAACTTTATATTATTATTTTTTTAACCATTTCAACGACCACGAATGACAAATTTCATAACTTGAATTTGTAGATTTCATTGAGCGCTACTACTTTTATATACAAAGTATATTTATCCATCACCATACATGAGAGAGATGATTTATCTAAGACAACATGCTCTAGTACAAGATTAAATATGCTGCTAAAATTTTATGTTTTTTTTTCAAAATATACAAGATTAATTTTCATATACAAGATTAATATGCTGCTAAAATTTTCATATACAAAGAATGGACTTGAACGGGCAACGTGAAGATAAGTGATCAACACCTCAAGCAAGGACATGGAGCTTTTAAACTTAGTTTCGAATTAAAACTTAACTTTGAGCATGTCCTTTGTTAAGAAACTTCGGATTTCAGCTAAACATGTATACTGATAAATTACACTATAAAAACTGTTTTCTGAACCATGAATTTAGGGCTTGTTCGGCTGGCTGGCTGGCCAGCCCACTCACGTGGGCACTGTTCACACGAACAGTGTCTTTTCAACCAGAACAGAATTTTTCTCTCACAACAATCCAGCTGGAATAGTATTTTGGCTTATTCAACCAGCCTGCCGAACAAGCCTTTAGATAAGTTTTTTTCTAGATTTTTAGTCCGTTTCAAGGCTAAATAGGTTAACTTAAGAATCAAATACAATATTACGAGGAGAATTTTAAGTTAAAACCTACAAGTGGTATGATGCGAGATACAAGTAAAATGAGTCGTGGTTATGTTCTAGCGTCTACTTAAATTTTTTGTAGAATGTTACAGGTACATAAGTACTTTTAGTTTGTGACGTACTTTTTTTTAAATACTATGTTTTTGGCTGAAATAAAAAAAATCCTAGGACTATATGGGCGTACCTGGTGGCGTTTTCTTCGAGCTGGCGGCCTTTTTGCAGTACAGGAAAACACCAATGATGACGACTGCGGCAAGCACCGTTCCAATTGGGAGGCCGATGGCGAGAGCCGTAGCGAACACCTTTTTTCCTGCGTTGCATTAAGTTCGTTAATTACCTGGTGCTATCTTAATTTGTTTGTGTACACTAGTAGGAGTATTTTGTAACGGAGCGAGTGCAGTAATTATTGATGCTCGCAGTTGTTAAGGTAATTTGGTCAAATGTTATCCTAAAAGTTCTCACAGATAACTTGGTTGACGCGAGTTGACTTAATTATGTGGTTAGCTCTACCGATCCTCTCGTGGGCCGTCGCCTTCAGAAGACTTGAGTAGTATCTATTTTCGGCTATTTCACGGGAGTTTCAAGCGTATTAAATGATATGCTACCTCAGCAAATGTGATGATATGGCCTCTAGCCAAGCTAGAGTAAACTAGAAGGAGGTGCGTTTATCTTATAGATTTGTAAACTTGATTTGCAACTATGGTGAAATTTGATCCTATTCACTAGTATTTAGATTTTCCGTGGGTGCATTGGCACTCACAACAGTGTTAACGGTCTCCAACCAGAAGCTCCATATAGACACCCAAACTTAAAATAGGTAGCAAGAGATCCAAAATCAGCCTTCAACAGAATATCTATACGGGAGACCTATTTTGGGTTGTCTGAGAGATACAACCCAAATATAGGCATCATCTCTCCTGCAAACTCATTTGCAGAAATGATTCTCTTTTGGATCTTGTTGTTGAAGAAAATACCGAATAACTATTGAACCTTTTGACTGTAGCACTATCAAAGAATAAATGAGTCTTGTATTGGGTGTTGGTGGTGAAGATAGCCTTACCTAGCTTCGCCACTGGATGTGACACTGTTTTTACGAAGAAAGAGAAATAAGAAGTTTTATGAGCATGAAACGAATGTGCACCGTTTCCAACGTCGATGAAATCGGGTGAAACCCGCACTGAGGCGTTGCAGTTTCGTCTTCCGCCCTTTTCTTGATCCGCTGCGGCTGCCTATGCCTGCCCCGCTCCTTGCGATCTCCCATTTGTCTACGACTCCAGCAGCACCTGCAAGCTGCTGGAGTCGACGTAAAGATGGACCGCACAGCAGCATTCTAGCCTGCGCCCGCACCGATGGGGACTTGCATGTGGAGGCTGCTACTCGAATCTCCAATCCCACACGCAACCAACTCTGATCAGAGCTTGATGTCATTTAAAAAATTGTTGTGGCCAAACAAAGCTACATTCAAATCGAATTTTTCATGTAAAAGCGACTATATATTTTAGTGAGATACTACTAGTTACTGAACTCTGAATATTGGTTCTGAATTATCAGTATCTCTCAACATTGGCACGTAATCTATGTGGCACATTTGATCACCATATCATGCAACACTTAAATCTGGTTTGCTTGTGAAATGGTGAAATGAAACTATGCACCGAGAGACGTCGTTTCATTCATTAGTCTTTTCCTCTAAAGCTTATGTGTTACTTTTGGAAACTACGAGATGAAACACTCCATTGAGACTAGCCTTATACAAAGTAATAATCGTCTTGTTATTCCAATAACTTCTACCTTCTTAATTGCAAGCTATGCACATGACCACGTCATCTCCAAATTTCATTTCAAATTCTTCCCGATTTCCGTAGCATCCCGTGGGATATCTTCTCGTTAAAATTAATTTTAGTTGATTGATATATGAACTGTGTAGAGATCATATCCTATCCGATGAAAATTGTAGAAGTGAAGACATTCAGAAGCTCACCCTGCCTTTCTCCGGCGAAGATGGACGGAGGTGCCGCTAGAGGCGGCGGCGCATCGAGGGCCAGATCGTAGTAAGGGTATATCTCCATGCGCAGGTAGCAGTTATAGCCGAGCACCACCCCGCCCTGGTTACCGTAGCAGCAAACTGGCAGCTGCCTTATCGAGTCCTGCAAGCACCGGTCGCACTCCGCCGCCGTCCTGTCCCTCATGCACTGCAACAGCCCATACATGGTGCCGTTAGGGCAGCGCTGTCATACACGGCCTCTCCTGTCGCGAACATCGGCGCTAGCGATGACGACGCGGAGGAGCCGTTGACGATGCGCGCGGTGAGTCTGCTCATGAGCGCGTTGTAGGTTTCCTCGAAGGCGTCCTTGTCGGAGACCTCCCCGGTGTTGTGGTCCAACCACCGGATTGTATCCTCGCCGCTGGTCGACGTGTTGGTGTCGGCGTAGCTGATGAAGGACATCATCGGCGCCGGATATGTCACCGTGGAGCCGTCGTCGTACCAGATGGCGTTGCGGCGGCTGCTGTTGCAGCCGCTCCTCTGGATTTCCAGCGCGGCGCTCCGGAGGTACCTGGAACAGTCGGCCGGCGCGGTGTCGCCGCGGCAGATGCCTCGGACGAAGGCGCGGTCGGTGCCGTTGCCGCGGGCGAGGGAAGCGAAGCCTGTGGGCGCCGCGGCCGACGGGAGCACGTCCAGTAGCGCGACGACGTTGGACCAGAACGTGCTGTTGAAAGAGGAGGACGACGACGGCGAGGGAGCCGGAGCTGCTGGAGAAGGCGCCATCGAGGATTTGCACTGCACCAACGTCCACTTGCTGTCCATGGATGTTACGACGGTGCAGAGGCTCGCCACCATGGCAAAGAGGGTCATCAGGCACTGGCCATGGCGGTGGAAGACGGATCTAGACGACGGCATTGGTTGTACTCTGAGCTAGGACGACCAAGTAGCTAGCTATCTGCCTATGTATAAATGCAAGTTAACAACAGGGACGAGAGGTGGTTATGGCGACACAAATGTGTACTATGAGCCTCGCTCTCATCGCATCTCCATTTGGATGCATGATTGCTGTGGGGTTGCCGGGCGGTAGTGGAACTGTACCGGCATTTGGCGAAGACTTGACCGAAGCTGATAGCACAGGAACTAGGCAATTAAAAGAACTAGGCACTTTAAGACTTGACCGAAGCTGATAGCCCAGCTAGCTACTGCACAGGAACGTTAATGCAATTAAAAGAAGTATGCATATGCATGGGAACTAGGCACGCGACACGTGAGTTGCCGATTAGACTCACGGTGCAGAAATTGCTATAGTTTTTTATGGACATTAATTATAATGTCACCTAATTATTTTGCTGATGTGATAAGATAATTATTGAAGAGAGAGAGAAAATTAAAGAAAACCGTTTCTACACAAGAAACCGCGTCTTCGCTCGAATCAATAACGAACAAACTGCACGATCCTGCGTGGGGAAGAAAAGATCTAATTTCTACTCTTTTTCCCTGGATCCGGTGCGCTCGCCTCCCAACTCCCAGCGCAGCACCTCCTCCTTAGCGGCTGTGAGCTCCTGTCGCGCTGACGCTACCACCCCACCGCGCCGTAGGACCCGTGCCGCCACTACCGTCTCCGGCCACTAATCTTTTCTTCAGGCTCGAGCAGTGGAGCAGAAGGTCATGGCTGCTGCGGTCCTTGATCTGCAGCTGCGGCGGTGGCGGCGGCCGACATGGCTGCTTTGGGAGGGCTCGAGCAGTGGCAGAAGGACGGGTTCTTCCAGGCGGCCGAGAAGGTGCAGGAGTCGGCGGACTTGTGAGTGCCTTCGTCATCTTGGCTTCGATTCGTTGCACCCGGGGCTACAAAAGTTTGAACTTTATTATATGCAAAATGTCTACCGCTTGGCGATTGTTTTTGCCGTGAATTTTGATTGTCCTTGTCCTTTTTTTGGAAGGTTGGGTTGCTGTTCCTTGATTACGTTGTGGATTATGGGTGTAGTTCCGGTTTGACCATTCTGTTTCCTTTTTCAACCTCTACTTTTTTTTTTCATATAGCATCCCTAATAAAAGAGAGAACAATATCCATTTCAAAGCATTTCTAACGGATTCCTTGGTTCGGACTGACGAAGTAATGGCACTCGATTATTATCAACCCGACTGTAATTTTTTTTCTGTCGGTAAGGATTACACCAGAGCACCTTCTACTTCTAATAGGCCATGAACTATAAACAGAGAAGAATCATTCTGAGCGAGTCCATAAGAAGTGACCCACTTTTTCATCGATTCTAAGGGAAGACCAAAGATCTTACACGACCGGTCCGCCAGAAGAACTCAAAAGAGAAAGAAGTCTCGTTAATCTCTTCATGGATTCTAATATGGCCCGAGTTTGTTTGCGGTCCTTGCGAACTGGAGAACTCTAGATTCTTGAGTTTTCTACTAATTTTATTAGTGCTTATTATTGGGCTAGGTTGTCGATTGGGGTAAGATGATATTTTGGTGGTTCTTTGTGCTCTGATTGGTGAACTGCTGGCTCTACCTATTTTGTCCGTTCTTTCGGTTTAGTTCAGATTGTGATGTCGTAAAAACTGGTTCTTTCGTGGTATCTCATATCTTATTGGGTTGATTTATGTTGCTATTTTGTATTGTATATATGGCTGGGGCAATTAATGCTCTATTTTTTTATATTGCCTCAACTTTCGAGTAAAAGCTATAATATCTGAACTCACGCAATGACTCACACACACCACACGCACGCACACACCTCCAGTGCGTAAGCTAGATCTACAACCTATATCTAGAATACAACTTTGCTTCAGTTGACAATTCTATTTGTTAATTTCGCCATGTAATGCTGCTTGGATTGTGACAATTAATAAGAACTCTTGTTGAAACAGACATTTACACTTACAAATAGTCAAATGCATTCAGGAACATATATTTTAATGCAATTTTTCCTCAAAATTGGATTTTTTTTTGAATGTCACCGGGGGATTACTCCCCCAACTAAATATATATTGATATAGCCCACATTGGCTTGATTTATGTTTTACAAATGTTTAGGAGGGAAAAACAGCAATAGTAAGACACCCAGCACTAGGGCGAAAAGTGGCAGAACCACAAATACACTAGCGAAATGCAAAGACTACTACACCAACTCACAGAAGCTCTTCGACGATGCCTCCAGGGAGGTGAATGACGCCAAAACGTAATCATCCTCGGCCAAGCAAGAGCTTGACAAGGCTTTCATCCAAGTCTTGTGCTCGGGGTATCTGCATTGATTGGGCCGATCCAGGAGAAGCAGCAGCAATAGGTTCTTCGGTGACGCCTTGAAGGAAATCCTCGTCGCTGGCTCAGACTGATCTGAGCTGAGCTTTCGCCCAGAACCTTTGACGGTGCTCCTGTAGACCCGCACACAACGAAGAGAGGTGCCCACCGGCAAGCATCCACGCCTGGATGGAGGGGGGTGCCGGCCGCCGCCACACTACGCGGAGCTGTTCCCGGACTCAACCGCGAAAGTGGGAGGCGCGCATCGGCAAGAGTCCATGCCTGGACGAAGGGGAGGGGTGCCAGCCACCGCCACACCACGCGGAGCCGTTACCGGACTCGCCCGCGACGGTGGGAGGTGGGCACCGACATGCGTCCGCGCCTAGACAGAGAGGGTGGGGGTGCCAGCCGCCGCCACACCGCGCGGAGCCGTTCTCGGACTCGCCTGCGACGGTGGGAGGCGCGCACTGGCAAGCATCGGGGGTGCTGGCCGTCGCCACACCACGTGGAGCCGATCCCAGACTCGCCCGCGATGGTGCGAGGCGAGCACTGACAAGCGTTAGGAGGAGGAGATACGCTGTATTGGCGCCGTGGCGAAGCACGAAGAGGGAGCTATCGGCGTGAGATTGCATGAAGCCGAGGCTGGTGACGTACGCGACGAAGCGAAGGAACCATTGGCGCGGAGCTTGACGAAGACTGTGGACTGCGCGCGAGAGCAAGCACACGGCGTTCGGTCGTTCGGGGTGCTCGAAGCCAGTCGGCTGGATGTAGTACACCGTTTCCTGCAGGTCCTCATGCAGGAACGCATTGGAGACATCCAGCTAATGGGCCGGCCAACGCTGGGACGCCACCAAGGTGAGTACCGTCCTGATCGTCGGTGGCTTGACGACCGGCGAGAAGGTTTCGCCGAAGTCAATCCAGGGGCGTTGGTTGAAGCCGCGTATGACCCACCTTGCCTTGTACCGGTCTAGGGTGCTGTCGGGGTTCCACTTGTGCTTGAAGACCCATTTGCTGGTGATGATCCGGGCACCGGGCGGGCGGTCTTGGAGCGTCCACATGTTGTTTGCTTGGAGCGCGTCGAACTCGAGCTGCATTGCGGCACGCCAGTTGGGGTCGCGCAGTGCCGCCTGGACTGACGAGGGAATGGGTGATGTTGCTGTGGACTCCATCGGCAGCGCGTACTTGGGGTTGGGCTTGAACACGCCAGCCTTTGCCCATGTCACCGTATGGTCGGCAGGTGCTGGTGAGGCTGATGAAGCGGAGGCTGGAGATGAAGCCGGCGTGGCCGCGGCGTTCGATGCAGGCGATGATGCCGCACCAGGCGAACCAGGCAGCATCGTGGCTTCCTGGGATGACAGCGAAGCCTGACGAAGTTCCGCATCGGTGCCGACTGTCGATGTCGGAGTACGCGGAGGACGTCGACGCTGCTGCGGTGTCGACGGTCAGCGATGCAGGCGCGCGTCGGATGTGGGGGAAGCGTAGAGGTGAGCACTGGTGCCGCCGGTACAGGCGTTGCATGCATGGGACATTGAGGTGGTAGGTGGTCGTCGAGCACGACGTCGCGCCTGGGTGTTGCAGGGGCTTCCTGGACTGTGCGGAACGGGAAGACCTGTTCAACAAAGACAACATGACGCGAGGTGATCACCCGGTGCGTCACGATGTCATAGCAGCGATAGCCACGGTGGTCTGCGGGGTAGACGATGAATACGCAGAGCGCGGAGCGGGCGTCGAGCTTGTGGTTCGTGGTGGCTGTGAGGTTGGGGAAGCAGCGACACCCGAACACGCGAAGCTCATCATAGGTCGGTTCAACGCCGAAGAGGAGGGTGAACGGTGTAGTGGTGCCGGTGGCGCGACATGGCCGCCGGTTAATGAGGTTTGTCGCCGTGGACAGTGCCTCTGCCTAGAACCCCAGGGGAGCTGCACTATGAAGAAGCATTGTTCGAACACAATCATTAAGAGTGCGGAGCACTCGCTCAGCTTTCCCGTTCTGCTGTGAGGTATAGGGACAAGAAAGGCGAAATTGTATGCCATGTTCCGCGAGGAGCCGAGAAGCAGTAGAATCAAACTCCTTCCCATTATCTGTCTGTGGAGCAAGAACGGGTAGACGGAACTGAGTGTGGACGTATGCCAAGAATGTGCGTAGGGTGGGCAGGACCTCGGACTTTTTGCTGCAGAGGGAATGTCCAGAGGTAGTGCGTGAAATCATCAAGCATAGCAAGGTAGAATTTGTAGCCAGAATGACTGAGAACAGGTGATGTCCAAACATCTGAATGTATTAAATGAAAGGGAAAATATGTATGTGATGTAGAGTCATTGAAATGTAGACGAACATGTTTGCCCAATCGACATGAAGAACAAGAGTGTGCCACTGATTTATTACAATTGAAATCAAAACTAGCTAAAACTTGAGAAAGAACATGATGTCCGGGATGGTCGAGGCGCTGGTGCCACAAGGAGACCGTCGAGGACGATGAAGCGGCGAGAGCTTGATGAGCCTGTAACCGGAGAGGGTAGAGGTCACCGCGACTATCACATCGGAGCATCTCCTCCCGTGTTGGAAGATCCTTAATGGAGAAACCAGTGGGGTCAAATTCGATAGAAACATTGTTATCGCGAGTAAGACGTCGGACAGAGATTAAGTTCTTAATTAGAGAGGGAGCAACAAGAACATCGTGCAAAAACAAAGGGGAAGAGGAAGTGGGGATGGAGCTGAAGGTCTGATGAGTCACGGGCAATTGGGCACCATTGCCAACCGTGATCATGGAGGAGGAGGGTTTAAGGTGTTTAGGGAAAAAATTACCAGGGGACGAGGCCATATGAGTGGTCGCGCCTGTGTCGAGGTACCATTCGGTGGCGCTCGGAGGCTGTGTGGGCACGCTGACTGTGGACAGCACCTGGTGGAGTGGATCCCAGTTGCCGAAGGAGCCGCTGTTCGGGGCTTGGGAGGCCATCATGGCCTACCGTTGCTGGAAGGGTGGGCGGGGGCCCAAGACGCCGGCGGTGGGTGAACGAAACTAGGCAGGCCAAGCCTGCACGTAGCCCGTTCAGGGGTTGTAGGCCATGGGTGCCTGGGGGCGTTGGCCGCCGCCACCGCCGTTGCCACGCGGTCTGCGCCCGTGCCCGCGCCCGCAGTTGTTCTTGGGGTTGGCGGTGCGCAGTGGATCACTGGAGCTGCTGGTGCTAGATCCATGCCCGGTGGCGAGCGCCTGATTAGCATCGGCCTTGGCGTCATGCTTCTCGCTGAGTTCCTTAAGGATGAGGAACGATCTGGCACTCATGAATGTATGGGGTAGGAATTTGGCGGTGATCACTGGTTTGAGGTGGCGGTAGCGAGGATTGAGCCCATGGAGCAGGTTGAGGACCTGGCTGGGCTCGGAGACAGGATGACCGATCGAACGCAGTTGATCGGCGAGGCGGTTCAGCTTAGTGCAGTATTCATTGATGGAGAGATCACCTTGGTAGGTGCTGCGAAGCTCAGCCTCAAGGTAGACAGCACGCTGGTGTTTGTTGTCGTGGAAGAGGCTTTCGACCTCGGTCCACAGTGAGAAGGCAGTGAGGTGCGGTTTGTGGACGATATCGAAGACAGATTTGGAGACGGTGAGAAGGATCCAATTGACGATGCAAGGATCCGTCAGCTGCCACTCAGCATTGCGCTCAGCCGTAGGGGTGGGAGAGCGGACGTGTTCGGTCAGCCCAAACTTGCTGAGGACGGAATCGAAGAAGCACCGCCACTGTGAGTAGTTTCCCTCGTCAAGATCAAGGACCACGGGGACATGGGGATGGATGTTGACGACTTGGATGACAGAGGCAGCAGCGAGATCGGGAGGATTGAGACCAGAGTCGAAGGAGTCGTCAGAATGATGAGAGGAAGGAGCCATGGGTGCGGCTGCTGTTGAAGCTACGGTGGCGGCGGAAGCTATGGCGAAGGAGTTCAGGAAAGGTTCGCCGGTAATTGATACCATAAAAGTGGAAGAATGATCAACCACACTTTGTATTGATATCTGGTGTACAATATATACACGTACAGGTGAGCCTTGGCTCAACGGACTCTCCTACAAAGCTGCTACGCGAGCCAGCGGCAGAGCGAGTACATGCGTGGCATTGGCGAGCGTTGCGGATCGCGTCAACCGCGTCCAGCAATTACAAACGAGCTTACAAGCGGGCCCTGTGCAGACTAATCCGCTAACATGCCCCTACACCTATACATGGCCAACCGGGCCGCACAGCACGGCACTAGCACGAGCACGGTCAGGCACGGCACGACTAGGTACGGCACTATGCGGCACGGTGGCTTAACCGTGCCGTGCCCAATAGTGCCGCCGTGCCGAGACCTTGGCCTAGGCACGGCCCTATGGCTGATGAACCGTGCCGTGTCGTGCTGTCGAGCACGACAGCCTGGCGTGCCCGCGCCGCCACCTGTGCTCGCCCGCCAGCGTGGGGCCACGTCGACGCCAGCGCTCGCCCTCGCGGGGCCGCGCCACCTCCTGTGCTCGCTCGCCGGCGTGGTGCCGCGCCGCCGCCACACTCGATGCCGCAGAGAAGGCCGGATCCAGGAGGAGGGGGCCAGATCTGGGCCATGGCCGCCGGATCCGCCCGCCATCGCCTGAGCTCGCCCGCCGGTGTGGGGCCGCGCCACCGCCAGCGCTCGCCCGCAGGAGGGCCGCGCATCCGCCTGAGCTCGCCCTCGCCGGGGCCACGCCGCCGCCACACTCGATGCCGTAGAGAAGGCCGGATCCGGGAGGAGGGGGCCGGATCTGGGCCATGGCCGCCAGATCCGCCCGCCGTCGCCTGAGCTCGCCCGCCGGCGTGGGGCCGCGCCACCGCCAGCGCTCGCCCACAGGAGGGCCGCGCATCCGCCTGAGCTCGCCCTTACCGGGGCCGCGTGCTCCTCCATCGCTGTTGCAGATGCGCCGGCGCGGCACCGCCCTGAGGCCCTAGGGGCATGGTCCCGCGACTGCGGGCACCGCGTGCCCCCTCCTGTCTTCGCGTCGACGGCTCGGCGCTGCTGAGGAAATGAGTGGGGGAGAGAGAGGAGGAAGTTAGGGTTTAGGTGAGGGAGGGATGCTTATATACTGGTATCCAACAGCTCTGGTTCATCTGCTGCTCATCAACGGTGAAGAATAAACGGGCCATGTCGTGCCGGCTCATTATCCGTGCCGTGCCTGGGCCGGCACTGCGGGCCGACATGACGGCCCAGGCACGGCACTACGACCGGGTCGTGCCAGGCACGGGCATGAAGCGAGCCGAGCCGGGCTGTGCCTGGACCGTGCTTCTCAGTGCCGTGCCTAGGCCGGCCATAGTGCTCGGGCCAAATGGCCAAATATGCCTACACCGGAACCTGGATACCGGCTCGCCACCCCCTCCCTCGTCTCCGGCATCACAACAGCCGGCGCGGCCCCGGCGCAGTGCGCGTCCACGCTGGGCGGTCGGCGGACGTCGCGTGTCTTGTGTGCGGGCCGCGCCCACTATCGCCGGTGGCCTCGCCTGGTGCAGGGCAGCTGCCGTCGGGGGCCTCTCCCAGCGCGAGGGCAGCACCCCGGGCATCACCCGGTCAGGGGTCGTGGCCGCCCTCGTCCGACACAGGAGCAGTGCCAAGCGGTGGGGTGCCTGCTCCTGGTTCTGCACTGCTAGTGCTACATGTGGACATGGCCGCGACTGGCATGTTCATCGAGCTCTGCCTCTGCGCCGGCTGCTTGCGCCGAACGCAATCTCCAATCATCTGTACCTCCGCTACGTGGTGGCCAACGCCGTCGTGTACCGCCGCTACGTGGGCGACCCATGCCTCGGCTCCGGCTCGGGCCAAAGGAGAGCGTGGCCGGCGCTGGCGTTCATCTGGGCCTTCTCCCTCATCGCGCTCTCCTTCACCCCTGCTATGGTAGTTCGCGCCGGGGGGGGGCGCCGCCAAGGCCGGGCTCCTGTCCGGGACCGCGGCAGCCGCTGTCGCCGCGGTCGAGGCACTGGTGCCGCAGGCGCGCGAGCCCGTGCTGTGGCCTGTGGGGCGTGCCGGAATGCCCTGGGTGCCCGCCGCATCCGTCCTCCTCAACGTCTTCCTGCTCGGCTCGCTCGACCGCCAGTCGTACGTCCGGTTCGGATTCTTCTCGACCTTCGCCGTGCTGGTCTACGTGCTCTACAGGGTGCACGGCAGCTACGATGCCGTGGAGGGCGGCGGCGACAAGCTGCAGGACCAAGGGTGCGTGGTGTAGCAGAGTCGTTGACGTAGGCAGACAGCGCATCCATGGAGGTTGAGCACGGCGTGGAGGGCCAGACCACGCCCCCAGCTGTCTGTGCGTTGCAGGAGGAGGCGTTTCACCACCATTACCAGCAGCAGCACCAGTGGCCGGCGCAGCACTGCGTTGCGTCGCCGCAGCCGCAGTTCCCGGCCGCGAGCTACCAGCAAGCCCTGTCACGTGGTCGTGGTGACGGGCTGACGGCCTGACGGCGCGAACCAGAGCAGGATGGACACGGTAGTGTAGTGATTAGGATCTCGGACGGCATGCAGACGGCGCATTGGCTTTCTCATCCACTCCGACGAGGTACGGATAGATACGTTTCCAAGCTTGTGTATCCTGATTTTTGGTTGGACGGCGTTGTCTTTTGCTCTGTATGTTTTTTTGCCTGTGTCCTCCGAGTTTTTTTTTTCCTATGTCCTCCGAGCTTTCAGAGTTTATCTGATGTGGATCTGGCTCTACGTTCTACCATCCTCTCCTGTTGTCGCGCTTGGCTTATTTGGTGAGCGGTGTGGGTTTTCTTTTTTTTGCCTTAGGTGCTGTTTGAATTTTTTGTTAGCGGATCTGAGCTTGCTGCTTTCTATTATGCCTTTGGGCTTTTGTGCGTTCTTTCCATTTGTGGCCCCGTTCGGCTTGCTAAAATTTAGCTGAAAGTGGCTGAAAACACTGTTCTAGTCTTACATGGCTCGCCAGGCTATTGTTTTTCTGTTTACCTACCATGTAGATCAGCAGTCTGTTCTTTTTTTTTTTGTCTTCCAGAAAGGCAAGTTTCTTTATATATATACTTTGATTGTTTTCCATAGGTTAGCCACATATCGTCAATTATTGAATCACATGCTTCATTATTGTGGTTATCTTGTGAAGTTACTCGTAAGCAGTTCAGGTCGGTAGACCATACTTTCTTAGTGTTATAACTTCTGATGTACCCTTCGATATGTTTGTTTCAAATGCAATATCTAAACATATATACTTGCATATTACTCCTTGTCTGGAGCTGGATGGTACTAGGTGCCATCTGTTTGTTGTCGCTCTATGAACTGTTAACTACTATGATGGTTGGCGTTCATTTCAGGTCGACAAGCAAGGAATCGCACTTGGCAGGTCCTTTTGGATGTTACAAAGTTCAGTGGCTAAACAGATTTGATTGCTGAGCTGGAGTAACAAGGAATGGGTGGTTGTCTACACTGACAATGAAGGTGATATGATGCTGGTTGGGGATGTCCCCTGGAAGTGAGTAGCTGTTGAATATTCTCCTGGTTTTCTTGGTCGATGTATATTAGAAGCCAAAATCTTGATTCGCCACTGTTTGACTGGACACTGGACAGTGAGTTCTGCAACATAGACACATACTAGTCCACAAGATCATCTGCAACATAGACACATACTAGTCCACAAGATCATCTGCAACATAGACACATACTAGTCCACAAGATCATCTACACAAGGCCGGTAGTCACTGAACCCGAGTGGCAGAAAAAGACATCTGAAAACACATGGTACAAATCACATGGGTGAACAGTACCAATGTCTGAATTTTGTACTGGCTCAGACTCCACATGCTTTTTTCAAAACAATTAATTACGTTAGGCTACCACTAATTGGTATGAGTCACGGGCATCATCGTTAACAAGTATGTGTATCTGGATGCATATCGGACGACAGGTGGTGGGTGAGCGCTATTACGTTGGCACTTTGAGTTATGATAATTACTATGCTAATTTACAAGATTATAGTAACTCCTTATAATGTGATTTACTATAACGTTACGGTAAATATCCCCATGTGTTATAATAACCCAACTATAGTAAATATGTATTGACGTTATCGTAAATTAGTATATAAATTATCGTAAATAGAGGTGGCTACAAAATAACTTATTTTGTAAATGGCTATCGAATATACTCTCCATATATATATACACACACGGCATCGCTATTCTACACCCTAGATGGTGTCACGGTCCTTATAGCGTGGACGTCCGTGCTGCTCGTGCTGCACTAGCGTCGTGTGTCACCGTGTCACCCGTGGCCTCCGTGCCTCCTCGCTCGTTGCCCAAGCTCTGCAGCCGCTGCCTGGGCTGGAACAGCCAGATCCATGCATCAACTCACCAGATCCGGCCTCTCCACGTAAATCTGGCCAGGGGAGAGGCGGATCAGCTCGCCGGAGCACTAGGGCCGACCACCGAAGGAACCATCGCTGCTGGAGTTTTTTCGGGTCCCAACTAGTCGGAGAAAACCCTGCCGCCGCCTTCCTCGCGGGAGCACGAGCTTCTGGTGGGCCGCTCGGGCGGCGGCGAGGCAGGCGGGACGAAGGTTTGTGGGCGGTGGTGCTAGGGTCGGGGTCCGCCTGAGCCGCCCCACATGAGCGACGTGGGGGCGAGGTGCTTTTAACTCATGACCTACACTGCCGCTCATAGTGGTTACTCTTTGGGATGGGTGTAATATCAAATATACTTTTAGGACACTACCCCAGATTTGGACATCACTGCCGGCCTCATCACTGCCGGATTTGTGACAACCGGCAGTGATGTAACTTCACTGCCGGTTATGAGCTTAAAAATGAGAAAATGATTAGGGCTGGGCTAAAACCGGTAGTGAAGGACCACATCATTGTCGGTTTGTGGCTTGAACCGATAGTGTTTTGGCGACCACTCATCACTGCCGGTTTAAGCCAAGAGCCGACAGTGATTTTGATCTATCACTGTCGGTTCTAGCTAACAACCGATGGTGATAAGCCTACAACACAAAAAGGTTGCAGCCGTCCTCTGCTTCCTCCTCTCTTCCATCCCGAGAACAGAGGCGCGCGTTTGGGCCCTTCCCTCCATTGTTGCGTCTGCTCTTCACCATGAAGCTAGCGCTTGAATTTTAAAGATTGGCTTGATCTTTTTGCTTTAAGGTTAGTAACAAACATCCACTCATTTTATTTTGTTACTTAATTATCTTCGTTTTGATGGCTACATTGCTTGATTCTCATTCTAGTTCTTTCTCTATTCTAGAGAGCACTTTTCCAATTGGATATTTGTGCAAGGCTCAAATTATGGTGAATCCATCATCCAAAAGGTTGGTGTCTATAAACACATTTAAATTCCTAGCTAATTATTCCATAGTCGTCAAGATCATCATTGTTAGTATGTGATGCTATAATTAGTTCCTAGATGTAGAGTAGAATAGATGTTCTTCATTATTGTGCAATAATTGTTTTTTACTACGATTTTCAATTTACAGGGCCGGGGCTACCAATTTCAATTTTCCAATAATTAGTGTACAATAATGTTTTCAAAAAATGGTACTTTCAAGCTACAATTGTTGTTCATGAAGCTCGATTTTTTATTAATTCTTTGTAATTACTATCTCAATATTTTTATGTGCAAAGATGGATCGAGAGTGGATGCATCTGTCCCGAACGGGCAAGCGGTACATGCATGACGTTAGTCAGTTTATCACCGATGCCAAAGCCCATACTGAGAATGGGAACCCTGTCTTCTGCCCATGCAAAGATTGCAAGAATCAAAGGAACTTTCGTCAAATTTAGTCTATACGATCACACTTGATCACTAGGGGGTTCATGCCAAACTATATGATATGGACTATGCATGGTGAGGTTGGTGTGAATGTTCTACAGGAAAACGATAATGATGTGGACATGCCTGACGTAGCCATCCACGATGCTGACGAGGAACCCGGTGTCAACACAGAACCTATGGCCACAGTTAATAATGTGTTTAGGAACACGCTAGCTGACGACACCGAGAATAACGATGGCATTTCTCAGCTGCTACGTAATGTAGAGACCGGATATCTTAGTGAAAGACAACTGAGAAAGCTAGAGAAAATAAGACAAGATGGCAAAACACCATCGTATAGGAATTGTTTAATGAGCAAACTGGAAGCCGACATCATGCTGTTAGAGTTCAAATCGACAAACGGATTGAGCGATAAAGGCTTCGATCAGTTGTTAGGTATAATAAGAAAAATGCTCCTAGAAAAAAATGAGTTGCCAGAAAAGACATACTTGGCCAAGCAAATGATCTGCCCCATCGGCCTCGAGGTTGAAAAAATCCACGCGTGTTCTAATGATTGCATATTGTACCGTGGAGAAAAATACAAAGACTTAGACAAGTGCCCCAAGTGTGAAGCTCCACGGTACAAGGAAGGGCCATCAGATGAGGGTATCAAGACTAGAGGCGGTCCCATAAAGGTCATTTGGTATTTCACTATAGCTCTTCGGGTGCATAGGCTGTTTGCATGTGCAAAGTCAGCCAAGCTGTTGCGCTAGCATGGCGAAGAGCGTAAGAAAGATACAATGATGAGGCACCCTGCCGATAGGCATGATTGGAGGATTGTCGATACTTTGTTCTATAAGGACATTGGTGGAGAGGTAAGACACCTTTGGTTTGCTTTGAGCACAGATGGGATGAATTATTTCGACCAGGTTAGAAGCAATCATAGCACCTAGACAGTGACGCTCTATATATACAACCTTCCACCTTGGGTCTGTATGAAGCAGTCATACATCCAGATGCCACTACTGATCCAAGGGCCAAGACAACCTGTGAATGACATCGATGTGGTTTTGGAACAAGTGATCGATGAACTAGTGGAGATGTTTGAAAAGGGTGTGCCGGATGTTTGGGACGAGTACAAAAAGAAACATGTCACGATCAAGGGAGTACTTATCGCTACAATTACCGACCTGCTAGGTCGAGGTTCGTTGTCCGAAGAGAAGACAAAAGGCTATACTGGATGTGTCGAGTGTTTGGACGACACCAATGCGGTAAATCTGCCAAATAACTTAAAGATAGTTTATATGGGACACCGTAGGTTCCTACCTAAGGATCACCCTTACCGCAGGAATAGAAAAGATTTCAAGAGTGCTATTGAGAAACGCTTAGCTCCAAAATATCAAGGCGGGCCTGCGATACTTCGAGAACTCAACAAACTGGAGGTTGTCCTTGGGAAGGGGGACAATGCAGTAGCAGCGCCTGATGGGAGCG